TTTTAGTCTAATTGAATTAGACCAATTTTGTGAAGCAAATCGGAAAACTTGGCTTCACTTAGTGGTTTGGTGAAGATATCCGCCAGTTGTTCTTCAGTTGAGATATACTCAATTTTGATATCTTTCTTTTCCACATGATCTCTGATGAAGTGATGCTTGACATCAATGTGCTTAGTGCGAGAATGATGCACTGGGTTTTGAGAGATGGCTATGGCACTTTGATTGTCACAAAAGATTGTCACTTCCTTTGTCTTGACTCCATAGTCCAGTAGTTGTTGCTTTAGCCACAAAACTTGAGCACAACAACTACCGGCTGCAATGTACTCTGCTTCTGCTGTTGATGTAGAAATGGAGTTTTGTTTCTTACTGAACCAAGAAACAAGATTTCCACCAATGAATTGACAAGTACCAGATGTACTTTTCCGGTCAACTTTGCATCCGGCAAAGTCAGAGTCTGAGTATCCCACTAACTCAAATGAATTGTTCTTAGCATACCACAAACCCATGTTCTGAGTTCCTTTGAGGTATCTAAGAATCCTTTTAGCTGCTATCAGATGACTTTCCTTTGGCTTTGACTGGAATCTGGCACAAACACCTACTGCATATGAGATATCCGGACGACTTGCAGTAAGGTAAAGTAGAGATCCGACAATCCCTCTGTAGAGAGTTTGGTCTACATCCTTTCCATCTACATCCATATCAAGCTTGGTGGATGTGCTCATGGGGACAGAAACGGATGACTTCTGATCAACTTTGAACTTCTTGATAAGATCCCTTGTATACTTCGCTTGGTTGATGAGGGTTCCTTCGCTTCTCTGTTTGATTTGAAGACCAAGGAAATAGTTGAGTTCTCCCATCATGCTCATCTCAAATTTTCCTTGCATGAGTGTTGAGAACTTAGTGCATAGATCTTCCTTAGTTGAGCCAATAATGATGTCGTCCACATATGTTTGGACCAATAAGAGATCTTCACTATCTTGTAGTTTGAACAATGTCTTGTCAATGACTCCTTTGGTAAATCCATTGTCTATAAGAAATTGAGACAATGTATCATACCAAGCTCTTGGTGCTTGTTTGAGTCCATACATCGCCTTTTTGAGTCTATACACTTGATCTCCCTTAGTATGTAACTCAAATCCTGGAGGCAGTTCTACATACACTTCTTCCTCTAGGTTTCCGTTGAGAAATGCGCTTTTGACATCCATTTGATAGACTTTGAAGTCCTTATGAGTAGCAAAGGCTAGAAACAGCCTTATAGCTTCAAGTCTAGCAACTGGAGCGAAGGTTTCATCAAAATCTATACCTTCTTCTTGACAATATCCTTTTGCAACTAACCTGGCCTTGTTTCTGACAACAACGCCGTTTTCATCCATCTTGTTCCGGAATACCCACTTTGTCCCAATGACATGTTGATGAGTAGGTCTGGGAACAAGTTTCCAGACATCATTTCTGGAAAACTGGTTGAGTTCTTCTTGCATTGCATTGATCCAATCAGAATCAGCTAGAGCTTCTTCAATATTCTTTGGTTCCACTTGTGAGATGAACCAAGCAAGCATAGCTTCTAGATTCTGTTGGGCACTCCTTGTGCGAACACCAGATTGAATATCTCCAATGATCTGTTGAGGAGGATGATCCCTTATCCAACGAAGATTGTGTTGATTGGGTATGACTGGTTGATCTAGTTCAGCTTCTGGTTGAAGAACAGAAGTTGTTGGTGTTTCCGGATGGATTGGCACTGAGTTGCCATTTCCGGAATTGTCGCTGTTTGAGATATCCGGAATATTGGAAGGTTGGCCAAAATTTCCGGAGGGCTCAGCACTGTCTGAATCCGGATTTCTCTATGAAATCTTCAGAGGCAGACTTCTGAATGGAATGAATTCCGTGGGCTTCATTCTATCTTCTTTATTGACTTCTTCATCCTTATCTGATAGATCCAGAACCTCATGGTCATGCTTTGATGGTTTGTCAACCACATGTTTTTCATCAAAAATAACATGTATTGACTCTTCAGTGATCATGGTTCTTTTGTTGAAGACTCTGAACGCCTTGCTTACCATGGAATATCCTAGGAAGATGGCCTCATCTGATTTCTCATCAAAAGTGTTCAGATGATTCTTCCCGTTGTTTAACACAAAGTACTTGCTCCCAAAAATATGGAAATAGGATATATTAGGCTTTCTCCCGTTCCACAGTTCATAGGGAGTTTTGTTGTGCCTTTTATAAATCATACTCCTATTTTGAGTGTAGCAGGCTGTGTTAACTGCTTCAGCCCAGAACCTCTTTGGTAAGGAAGCTTCTGCTAGCATGGTTCTCACTGCTTCCTTCAGGGTTCTGTTCCTTCTTTCAGCTACACCATTCTGTTGAGGTGTCCTTGCTGCAGATGTCTGATGAAGAATTCCGTTTTCTTCACAGTAGTGAATGATGATTTCATTCAGGAATTCTGTACCTTTGTCAGATCTGATCTTCTGAATGGTCTGACTTGCTTGGTTTTGAATCAGCTTCATGCAGTTGGTGAGTTTGCCTTGAGTCTCCTTCTTGCCGTTGAGGAAGATTGTCCACGTGTATCTTGAGTAATCATCAACTACCACAAGGACATATTTCTTTCCACTTAGACTTAGTGGTGTAACAGGGCCAAATAAGTCCATGTGAATAAGACTTAATATCCTTGTAGTTGAGGGTGCCGATTTTGCCTTGAAGGTGGACTTGACTTGCTTTCCTTTTTGGCAAGCATCACAAATACTTTCCTTTTTGAATGCAGCTTTGGGAAGACCTTCTACTAACCCTTCTCTGGACAGCTTGTTGAGAGTTTTGAAGTTGAGATGACTCAACCTCTTATGCCAAAGCCATAGAAGGTTAGTGTCACCTTTGCTGATTAGACATGCTTCCTTGACATCGCTCCATATTACTTCATAGATGTTTCTGATTCTCTTCCCAGTGAGAATAACTTCATTTGTGGAGATGTTCTTGAGAGATGCCATGTCCTTGCAGAATTCCAAGGAGTAACCTTTATCACAAAACTGACTTATGCTAAGAAGGTTGTAATTGATACCTTCAACATAAGATACAGCTTGGATGGTTAGTCCCTTGTACACCAGATTTCCTAGCCCTTTGGTAAGGCCAAAATCATTGCTTCCTCCAAAAGTAACTCTTGGACCATCATAGGGAATTAGATTGCTCAAAAGGCTCACATCACCCGTCATGTGTCTTGAACAGCCACTGTCTAAGTACCAGACACCTGGGTACTTAGTGGCTTCCTGCATTAGGAGGAGGAAGATTTTGGTACCCAATTAAGTTTGGGTCCGGAGTAGTTAATGGTGTGTGTCCCTACATCAAGTTTAAAGTTGCAGGGAATCTTCCTTGCAGCTCTAAACTTGTTGGGATTGTAATCATAGTTGTAGGCATAAAACTTCCTACGTGCAGGAGGGGTTATTTCCTGTTTCCTCCTAGCAAACCTAGGTTGATAAGACCTATAATTTTGTCTAGGTTGTGCATAGTGTGTCCTGTGTCGGTTATAAGCATACTTAGGTGGCACAAATAGCTTCTGGGGTGAAGGATGACTATATCTTGGCATAGTTCTCCACTCAGAATTTCTTGGAAAACTCCTGTCTACCCCAGGAGTTTTCTTCTGAAATTATTTCCTTTTTGAGGTCTGTCCAGCTTCCTATAGTTCTTAGGAGGGACTACCTTTTTGGGAACTTCTGTTGGTTTTTCTTTTTCCTTCCCTTTCTGCTTATTTGGTTTAGCAGTAGGTTTAGGAGGGATGAAGGTTGTTTTCCCTTTCCTTTTAGAATTGGAGGGGTCAAACCCAAGTCCTTCACGACCCTTATGTTTGGTCGTTTCAAGAAGCTTATCCACTGCTTCTTTGGACTTAAGAGTCCCTAGTTCTTTGTTAATGGATTTCACCTTTTCAGAGAGAGATTCATTTTCAGTCTTGAGTTGAGTGATCTCATTCAGTTGACTTTTCCGACCTTCAGTCAACTTGAGATTCTCTTCACTCAATAGTTTGTTCTCCTTTGTTAAGGAAGAATGTTTGAGATTTATCTCCTCAAAGTCTTTCATCATCTTTTTGAACTGGTCAAAAAGATTTTCAGAAGTTGGTATGCTTTCATAAGAAGATGAGCAGGAGGTCTGTGAGGTTACCTCTTGATCAGCATCATCTTTGGGCATTAGGCAGAGAGTGTCATCATCTGACATAGTCCACCTATCCTCATGGTTGGACTTTTCAGCTCTGCGCTCCATGCAGATGAGAGCTTCTTCATCCGAGCTTGAGCTGGATGACTCGTCACTTTCAGCAGCAACCATTGCCTTCTTTTTCTTCTCGATCCTTTCTCTTTCTCCGTACTTCCCCACTTTTGGGTACGGGCATGCTGACTTCCAGTAGCCAGGCTTCCTGCAATTGTAACACAAATAAGATTCAGGAGGAGAGTCACTTACCTGTGGCTTTCCCTTGGATGGCCTTTTGACTGAGTCAGCTTTCTTGAATAACTTTTTGAACTTCCGGAATTGCTTGACCATCATGGCAAATTCCTCATCGTAGTTCTCCATTTTTGAACTTGACAGCTGACTGGAGGAAGGTGTGTCACAGTTCCTTGGGCATGTCCCTTCACTTGATGGTACTCTTGGAGCTGTCATCAGTGTCGTGGGGAAGGGAGTGACTTGTTCTTCCTTCTTCTTCTTCAGCTCGTGCTCATAGGTTCTGAGCTCATCAAGAAGACCTTGGACAGTGTAGTTCTCCAGATTTCTTCCCTTCTTCCATGGCTGTGGCTTTGGTGTACCACTCAGTTGGAAGAGATCTCAGCAACCTTACATTCTTTTCTTTGGGAGAAAGAACGTGGTTAAGTGATGCAAGATCATTCAAGATTTTGTGGAATCTTTCATCCAGCATATCAAATGATTCTCCGGGAAGCATTTTGAAGCCTTTGAACTTCTCAAGCAGGACTTCTATCTTCTGCTTTCTCAAGTCCTCTGAA